GGTTATTCTTTCATAATGGCAGGTGTGACATAAATTGGGTAATTCGTTGAGCGATTAGGCATAGAAGTGTGGTTTAAATTGCTCGAGGACGAGCAAAGCTTTAAGTGTGGGGTGTTGATAATAGGTGAATTGAACTATGATTAAGCCCCAAAAGAACCACTTTCTTGTAGAGTTTTTATTGTAAAAGTGATAGCAAAATGCTCTTATTAGTGCTTTTCATGTTTTTCAGGTTACATACATTAGAAGAAGGCTATGGAGTGGTTTTATATCATTTATGGAAAAAAAAGAAGCCAATCGCATCAAAGTCGCCGAGTGAACCATTTGAAATACACAAACAAGGCCTGGAGGTGAACTGCTGCGGTCCCAGCGTGGGCGCGGTAGAACCGCGGTGAGCTGTCAGAGGAGATTCAGAGAGGCCGTTTGGCCGCGGTCCCAGCGTGGGCGCGGTAGGACCGCGGCAGGCGACAGGAACTTAAGGGACTGAAGTGCAAATTCCGGAATTCTTAGCCCAAAAACCTATTTAAATACTAGAACTCGCCCAAAGGAGGCATGAAACATTATTAGAGAGTACTTGGCAAGAAAAACAATTGTGAGAGATCACCTAAAACATCTTTATTTCTTTTCTTCTTTATTTTTTTGCAATTCATGATTATGAATCTTTTAGTATTTGATTTACCCATTGTCATGAGTAGCTAAAAACCTTAATCTAAGGTTTTGGAGAAACCCGTTGGGGATGAAATGGTTGTTATAAGTAATATAGATTTGAATTAGTTTAATCTCTATTTGTTCAACTATGTTTTGATTGTGGTTAATTGAAAGGATCCTCAATTAGCCGTTCCTATTTATTATGTATCTACTTGAGAGAGAGTGCATATTTAGGTAGTTTTTTGAACAACATCACTCCCGGAGTATAGGCGAGAGTCATAACCGAGGGTTTAGAGGTTGGATTAGAGATAACGATACCTCGGGTGCGATCTAAGTGAACTGTAATGCGAATCTAGCTAGCGTAGCTTGAGAGAGTGCGTCTAGTAAATTATCATAATTGCTTGAGAGAGATTTATGATAGCTGGAGAGTTCATGATTGATAGAGGTAACTAAGTCAACACTATAAGAAACATACAACCAAGGAAATCAACAACGGGGGAAACCATTACCTTAGACCTTTATTCTAATTGTTTACAAGCATAGTTAGTTTTCAGCTGTTTATTTATTTTCAATCTTGTCTTCTTGGTGATACTAAACAGATACAGCTAAACCTTAGTTCTCTGTGGGGTTCGACTCCGGAATTTTAGACCGGATTATATTTGTAGCGATCGCTTATCATTTTTAGGACTAGAGTTGGGCGTGATCAGTGGCAATGAAACGAGTACTGGATATTTGGAATATACCCAAGACTATGTTTTGCACTACAATAAATATCATGCGGTTATCGAAGGATGTAGTGATGCAAATTGGATAACCGGCTCAACAGAAATAAAGTCCACAAGTGCATATGTTTTTACTGTTGGCGGAGGAGCAGTATCTTGGAAGTCTTCCAAACAGACGTGCATCGCTCGCTCTACAATGGAATCAGAGTTTATAGCTTTGGATAAGGCCAGCAAAGAAGCTAAATGGCTTCGAAATTTCTTAGAAGATATTCTGTTCTGTCCAAAACCTTTGGCTCCTATATGCATACATTGCGATAGTGAGGCTGCAATAGGATGGGCAGGGAGCGTTATGTATAAAAACCGTTAGACAACTACTCTCTAGTGGAATTATCACTATTGATTATGTAAGATCAAAGGATAATGTGGCGGATCCGCTTACAAAAGGCCTAACTAGAGAGGGAGTTGAGAAATCATCTAAGGGAATGGGACTAAGGCCGAGGACAAGTCATCATGGCGGTAACTCTACCTAGAATTTTGGATATTCCGAGATCTAGGTTCAAGGAGGTCAAACAAAGTTGTGATTGACCGTTTCAACATTGTCAAAGTAAAATCTTTGGTCCCTTCTCGTGATGAAGACAATGTTCAGTAACAAGGATAGAATTTTACGCGTTCTTTAATGATTACCTAAGTTTGATGTGGTATTTATCAAATAGTGTCAATCTAAAGGATTACACGTTTAGGAATCACCTATGTAAGTGTGAAGTGGAAATCGCTTCAATGAGAATTCTGTAAGGCCAATTCTCTACGCGCTTATGAAATCAGGCGGTGTTCATGGCTGAAACGAACACAACAATGAGAACCAAAAGACGGTTAAGGGTTGGTTGTGCGACATATGGTTGTCTAGGTATACTCTAAAGTTCGACGGTTCAAAGATATCAAATCTACCGATTGACCGAGTATATCTGACATATGCTCACTACGGAAAGTTCAAAGGGAAACCTGCTTAACCAGATGCAATTAATCCTTACTTGCAAATCACACAGCTTTCATCTATGTTCATTCTTGTTACAGTCATTCCCATTCATGTGGGGGATTGTTGGACTTCAAGCCATTTGGCTTTAAAGACTAGAAGTGTGAATTGGGAAATGGTGGGAAATAAAATGGAGGGAAATGAAAAAATTGGAAAATTTGAATCAAGTGAGCTTTGTCATTTATGACAAATCAACTTTGTCCCTCATTGGTGAGGGACAACTACACTTGTGTGTATAAATATAGGATCACCTCTTAGAGCTCTTAAAGGAGTTGAAGAGAATGAAGCATCGCGCCGTCATCGTTGCTCGGCTCGGCTTCGGATTCGGATCGATGAGATTAATTTTTTTGGACAAAGTTTATTTAATTAATTATTTAAGAAGGATACAAAATAGTGAAGGGACTATTAATTGAGTATACGGCGCTCTCCTTGATTTGTTGGCAGTACCTCTGCCGAAAAGGTTTGTCCACCTTCTGAAGGCAGCAAGGGCATATCCCTTCTGAATGATACTTCATGACTGGGGTACGTAGCTGTAGTGTCCTTCTCAACTTCATAATCTAAATCCGATTCGATTGATAAGTCTCCGCTTTGAACCTCTGCTTACGCATGCATGCTCTCACGCGTCAAAAGAGTACGTAGTTATGATATCCTCCTGACCTTCGTAGTGGCACTTATCAATAGTTTATATGATTATTCACAGTATATAGATGAAATATGATGTATTTGGATAGAAAATAAAAAGAGAAAGAATACCTCTTTAGAGTCGAAAAAATTTGGTACTCATCTATTTACAGCTTGTTTGTATAGTTGATACATATTATATTGTATCGTATTGTTACTTTAAATACACTCTTTGTTTTGATTATTACTTAAATTTTATTGTATCGTATCGTTAAATCTGTTGTTACATAACGACGAAATATGCCACCTTATGTAACAAACAAGTTGGTGTGGTCGCGTCGTTACCTTGTTTTTTCTCTCATCTCACCCTTCAATACATTAAATAATTTTATTTTATCATTTATCCTACCCTTTTGCATAATAGTTTTACCCCGTATCATAATTTTTCTTTATAATATTGTAAGTTTATTCTTTATATTGGTGGTACGTGATATCATAAAACGATGTCAAACGATACAATCTATCCAAATATTATATTCATCAAACAATACAACACATTATAAAACGATATATAACAAGTATTCAAACAAGCTGTTATTGAAATTTGACAAGCATATCAAGTAATAAAGATCATGTGATAACGATGTACAAAAGTAAAATAGAATGGCCTTCTCGTATATACAAATTAAGAACAATTATCTGCCTTTTATTAAAAGTTAATTCTATGTATAAAAGGATGAAATAAAGTTTTCCAGCACTTAATTAAAAGAAGGAAAACAAAACCTCTACTACCTTCTAAAACTTGTTAACCAATTAAAAAACCAATTTAAAAGGGTAATGGTGTAGACCAAAACCAGGGATCTGACTCTTAGCCGACGTGCTGACGCAGCACATCCAAGAGGAGGTACTATAGTGCATGTTGTTTGCAGATGATATAGTGTTGATAGACGAGACACGAGGTGGGATTAACGCGAGGTTGGAGGTTTGCAGACAAACTTTGGAATCTAAGAGTTTTAAGTTGAGCGTGACCAAAATTGAATAGTTGGAGTGCAAATTCAGTGACGCGGCCCTAGAATCAGACGTGGATGTGAAGCTCAATACTTAAGTCATCCCCAAGAGAAGTAGTTTCAAGTATCTCGGATCTATTATACAGGGTAACACGGAGATCGACGAGGATGTCACATATCGTATTAGAGCGGGATGGATGAAGTAGAGGCTTGCATCCGGTGTTCTATGTGATAAGAATGTGCCGCTAGAACTTAAGGGTAAATTTCACAGAGTGGTGGCTCGACCGACCTTGCTGTATGGGGCGGAATGTTGGCCAGTCAAGAGTTTCCATGTGCACAAGATGAAAGTAGCAGAAATGAGAATATTGAGATGGATGTGTAGGTGTACCAGGAGGGATAAAATTAGGAATGAAGTTATTCGGGACAGAGTGGGGGACAAGATGCGGGAGTCGAGGCTGAGATGGTTCGGGCATGTTAAGAGGAGAAGCATTGACGCTCCTGTTAGGAGGTGTGAGAAGCTGACCATGACAGGTTTGAAAAGAGGCCGAGGCAGACCTAAGAAGTACCCGGGGAGGTGATTAGACAGGACATGACGAAGCTTCAATTTACTGAGGACATGACCCTTGATAGAAGGGCATGAAGGTCGAAGAGTAGGGTAGAAGTTTAATAAGTAGTTGAGAGTTCCCCTTTCTTACCCGTAGTACTAGTAGCAGTGCATGTTAATATACTGGTTGTTGTGAAGGCCAAAATAGCGACTTCGTTTCCATTTTATGTGACAAATAATGACACTTGGATATTTAAAACAATTTTACTTTCGACTTCTCATTATGGCCTATTTAAACCAATATTTCACAAATTGTCTTTTCTTTCTTAAATAAATCTTTATACCCAGTTAAACACCATCAATTGGGAAGGAGGGAGTACTTACTATTTAGGTACTTCTAATTTTGGGGGGTGGGGGGCGACTAAAACATCTCTTCCAAAATGCAAATTAAAAATGTACTCGATAACATTCTTCAAATACAAAAACTTTGGATGTCAAAAACTAGCAAAAGCCCACCACTAAATAGGATGATGGATTACAAAATGCTAATATGCATTACTCATTAGTTCAGAATCACAGAAACTACTAAACAAACAAAAGGTAAGAAGGATATCAAGAAGATGAAAAAGAAAGGAGGGGAAGTTTCGAGACACAGCTAAAGCACCACATTGTAAAACCTCTGAATGTCCAAAGCTGGTCACAGGAGATCAGCAACATTTGCTGGGAGCTCCTCAATCACCACATTGTAAAACCTCTGAATGTCAGACAGCATTCTCTCATCGTCGTTGGTTACGAAGTTGATTGAAACACCCTTCCTACCAAACCTCCCACTACGTCCAATACGATGAAGGTAATTCTCAGGTTGAGTGGGGAGATCATAATTTATGACAAGGGAAACTTGTTGGACATCAATTCCTCTGGCCAAAAGATCAGTGGTGATGAGAACACGAGAGGAACCAGAACGAAATTCGCGCATTATAATATCCCTAGTATTCTGATCCATGTCACCATGAGTGGCCGAGACTGTATGATCTCTGCTTCGCATCTTGTCAGTCAACCAATCAACTTTGCGACGAGTATTCACAAATATCACACTCTGTGTGATGGCCAAGGTTTCATACAAATCGCAAAGGGTCTCAAGCTTCCATTCTTCCTTGTCCACATTCACATAAAACTGCTTAATACCTTCTAAGGTCAGTTCATCACGTTTCACAAGAATCCTCACGGGTTTGTTCATGAACTTCCTCGTGATCTCAAGGGCCTCAGGAGGCATTGTGGCAGAGAAAACACCAACCTGAATCTTAGGAGGCAAGAGCTGGAAAATATCATAGATCTGGGGACAAAGAAAATGTGTAAATTTTAGAACCACCAGGGAAGAAATCGTGTAAATTTAAGTAAAATATTCCATGTGAAGACAAGCAGTGGATACAGACCTAGAACACTAACACGGAAGTACCTGGGATACAACCATAGTATACATAAAAGAACACAGAAAGGAAAGTGGACAACAAAATCACAAATACATTGGACATCATTGCAAGGCTAAACATAATTTACAGCGTCACACATACCTAATCACAAACTATCAAGAAAACAAGGCCACGGATTTAAACTATGTTCCAACATACTTGAAAGAAAAGAAACTAGCATAAAGAAAACAGAAAACAGAAGATGGCATCCTTGACCTCTACAACAATAATTTGGGCTATAGAGTATGTCAAGTGCACTGGTGCAAAGCATCCCCTGTTCACGCAGGTTCTGGGGAAGGACCGCACCCCATGGGGGTGTGATATAGGCAATCTATTCTAATGCAAGCATCAGTGGCTTCCACGACTCGAACCCATGACCTATAGGTCACACGGAGATAACTTGACCGTTGCTCCAAGGCTCCCCTTCAAGTGCACCATAGACCAGATATCACTTTTTCCAGTATCTAAAACCTCTGCACACCCCTCATCCCCGGGAAAACAAGTGAATAATTCTGCACAGACTCATATTTCTCAGGCTGAAAGAAAAACTAACTCCTAAACATAATCAACCCCACTACATTGATGATGTTGGTGGTCTCATTTTAGAATCATTTGTATAACATGTGAACTGAGGAACCTTAAACATCAAGACTGTCATTCTTTTATAAAGAACAGGTAGAGACTTTCATATAAAAAACAGAGATATCAATGCAAAGATGAAGATGTGTACGCATCACAGACACTGTGCAGGTATGAGGGAAAAAGAAGGTGCATTTTTTTAATCTAAAATAGTCGGACCTGATCCTTGAAGCCTCTGGAAAGCATTTCATCAGCCTCGTCCAATACAAACATCTTAATGTGATCAGGGCGGAGAGACTGTCTCCTTAGCATGTCAAATACACGTCCAGGGGTTCCCACAACAACGTGAACCCCACTTGAAAGGATGCGTTGATCCTCACGGACACTGGTGCCTCCCACACAAGCATGAACCTTGACACCAAGATAGTCTCCAAGTGCTCGCATGACCTTTTCAATTTGCTGTGCAAGCTCACGAGTAGGTGCCAAGACCAAAGCTTGACAGTCTAGTAGTTCATAGTCTAGTTGTTGCAGAATTCCAGAGCAAAAAGTAGCAGTCTTTCCAGTTCCAGACTGAGCCTGTTGAATCACATCAAGACCTTTGCAGAAAGGTACAATTCCTCTTTGTTGAATTGCTGAGGGTTTCTCAAAACCTACAACAGATATAGTCCAATATTAGATCTAAGTATCTAACAAATTCGAAAATACAAAAGTGACCAAAATATGAAGACAATACTTCAGTACGAGACAATATGCACAGAACAACTATGAAAAAACCAAAGCTCCTATGGTAAAAGTAGAGGAAGCATTCAGTTTGATCCAAAATCCCCAACTTAGTAGCAGCACGAAGAGAAGGAAAATACGTCTTCCTCTTCTTAATAATCTGTACAAAAGTCAAGAACTGAGAAAGAGAAACGGGAAAAGATTTTCAACTGACCGTATGCATAAATGCCCCTGAGGAGGTTCTCCTTCAATCCCATGGCATCAAAACTATCATAGACCTCATCGTATGAGGTAAAGAAATCTTGCCCTTCAGCATTTAGCCTGCATGTGCAAATTTGCAATAAAGAAAGTAGTCACACACATTATAACTAAATATTTTATTTCTCACACATGCATGATTTTGACTCCCAGATATGCTGATGTGTGGATAGACAAACTCAAGGCAATATAACATAACTAAGGAATGGAAAAGCAACAGTACAATCGAGGCAGTGATACTCACAATTCTGTCATTTTCGAATCATACTGACGAGTATCAAACTGTGATCCTTCAGGAGCTGCACCCGCCATGACTAGAAAGAATTCACAGCACATAAGCAAACAGAAAGTTTTTAGCTTGAACCCAAAAATTATCAAAACATGCATCCCACCCCACCATAACTGGAATCAAACCACGCTGAACTAACCAAAAAACCAGAAGTTCGATTCACCCCCAACCCCCAAAAAAACTAGCCTGTCACTATCCTTCTAAAGACAATAACTTTAGCACAAAATGATGTTAACGAGTACATTTCTCTTTTGTTTTGAAAACATTTTGACATATGTAAGCTGATTCAAACATAAAGAGCACCCCATAAACAGATTCATAAGAGATATATCTACATCAAACCACACAAAACAAAAACAAAAAAAGCATTTAATTTACACACGATATCTAGAGATTCAAAAACTATAGCTAAAATATACAAAAAAGTAACTAGAAAATAAACAAAGGAGAAAGGTACCTGAAGATGTAGAGGAAGAGAAGAGATGCTGCAGTTGTGAGTAATAAGAGAAGTTAGGGTTTTTTCCCAAACTTCTCGGATCTACGGCCCACTGGAGTTTGTAGAGATACGATACAATAATGTGCGAATGTTTTGAGGGTTCCGTAGTAGCCAAAGAGACCCATATTTTTTCTTGTTCTGACGAATTTGCCCCTTATGGAATTATCCTTTCGGGCTACACGTGGCCCATTTTGCGGCTTCCTTACATTTACGTACATGGCTCCTTTTTGAAGGCATAGCAATTGGAGAATCGAAAGGCCATAGGTTTAAGATTGTCCTAACCTAAACAAACAAAATCTAAAATAAAATTCCAAAAAAGTAAGTAGCAAAAGACAAGAGGGGTTGCTCTGATGGTAAGCAACCTCCATTTCCAACCAAGAGGTTGTGAGTTTGAATCTCCCCAAGAGCAAGGTGAGAAGTTTTTGGAGGGAAGGATGGAAAAGTTTTGATAAAGATTGTCCTAAAAAGTTATTTTTTACAAATATAAATATCTATCACACCGTTCAACAACCCATAAAATATGTAGCCAATATAACTTCATCGTCAAAGTCTAACTCACTCCAATTCATATCTCACCTTACATGGCTCAACTAACACTACACTAATTAAAAAAGTAGGTAGCTTTAAAAAGAAAACTTATTTAAATGATCTGTTCTTTTCAAAAGAATGTCAAATATTATGACAAATGTTTGCGATTGAAAGTAGTATAACTTTCTTTCAATGTGTCATGCAGACTCGGTTTAAGATGTATAGTTAGCATAAAATAAATCTTCCTAACGGTAATCCCACTAATTCGTGCAGTAATGCTCTCTTTCTGCAAAATAAACACGTACTTGAATAATTGCAGTTTTTGTGAAGTTTTACGAGTAATTTTGTGAGTAAAACGAATATTTTGAAGAGGTGCACCTCAAGGTACCGCTTCATACTGAATTTTCAAAAAATTAAAAAAAGGTTTAACCAAACCTCAATCTCAAGCCTTTCCAATTCCAGAAATTTGAAGTGAAATTCATAGAGTCTACATGTACATGGCAATTTAAAGCATTATTTTCAGAGAGTGTTTTTCCTTAATAAGTGGCATCTAATTGACAAGTTTCTTTGCACAGGCATTCTTACTATTCTAACTGACTACATCATCTACCAAAATCCCAAAGTTAAATAAGCTGCATTGACAGTCCCTTCTAAACCCCTCAGCACTGAAATGTGCACAAATGACTCCCAAATTGCGACACAATATCCACTAATGCTCCGTAACCAGCTACTGCTGTTACCTGAAAGTTATGGGCAAGTGAAACCCTGTTTTAGTTATTGATAACAATAGTTTAACACTAGAGTATGCCACAGTGGCAATTCCACTTCAGTTTTGGTGTACAATATTCTGGATTTTTATACAGAAAAGAGAAGAGTAAGAAATCTACCTAAAACATGCTGATCACACTTGTGAAAATATAAAGTGTGGTATCAGCAAACTAAAGAAAAGTAGTTTCTTACCCCTGAAGGATGTAAAGAAATGGAAAACAGTGACTGAGGAGCACATGGTATCTGTGAAATAATATCTCCGTTCAGGTCAAAGCGACTAAGCAGGGGCTCCGCTCCAACCGCTAAAACCTGACAGGGAAAATGCAGCTCCTTAGCCAAGAAGGAATGGGAATAACCAAAAAGCATTTGATGGAATTAGTTGTTCTCACCAGAATGGTGGATAGTAGACTGCAATAAACCAGACTGAACTTGAGAAGGCCACAAGTAAAACAATAGAGGACAGCATATACGCACAAGACATAAGTGAACCAAAGCTAAATAATAGTACAGTGCTGAGACGACAAAGATCATAAGTCAAATAGTTCAAAGATTTAAACTTTTTGGAACGCTAGAGCAAATCATTATTCCATCTCTTCTTTTATAACATTTAAAGTTGAAGATTACTGTAACTAAATAGACAACCAACACAAACACGAAAGAGAATCAAAGGAACTCATTCCAAAAAGGGGACTTAAAACAAACACAGGGAACAAACGAAACTACTTGGAAGTTGATATAAGTGAAAGAACTGACTTGATTATCATGAAATATGGCATCCTGGATAGCAGCAGTTGTCGTGATTCGTGAAACGCATTCACAAGCTAGAAGGTTCCAAACAGATAAAGACCGGCCACTTCCACAAGCCTATGAAATCAAGCATAGTGGCTGTAATTAACATCCTTGATGCAGGAAACTTACTGTCAGTCTGTCATGCATGAAACTATGATAAAATATTCATTTCTCCAATCTCAACCTTAAAGCTGTGAAGTTACCATAACCAGGCAAAAGAAAATGAAAAAAAAAAAAACATAACTTCAAAATAAACCAGGAGATGGTACTGTATCTCTATACCCACCTGTATACATGTAAAGGCACACATATTTCCTTTCTGCTGATTGCAAGGTCAGATGCAAAAGCATGCACCAACAAGAATTCAGAACATCAACAAAGATTGCCTTTTTTCCCCTTCTTTTGAACAACGATTATGCTACTTATCAAGATGAAGAAATTGCTTTATTTTGAAGAAAACAATCTTTTTAACAATGATTGCTTCACTTATCAAGATGAAGAACTTGCTTCATTTTGAAGAAAGACAATATTTTAGTGGAGAACAAGAACCCTTAGCAACTATGTTGCTCGGATCTTCCAAAAATGTTGCGGGGTGTGTGTCGGATCTTTAAAAAGTATTTGCTCTTTTGGAGGATCTGACACGGGTATGGCGGTATTTTTGGAGGATCTGAGCAGCATAACCTAGCAATGCTAATACTATATTGGGAGAACAATTACACTTGGCAATCCTAGAGTTTCAACTGCAACTCAACACCAATTGATAATTGCCAAACATTCATTAACATATTTCAGGAATTCATCCAAAAAAAGCTTTGCCATGTGGACTGACAATACAAAGTGCTTAAAACCTTCAACAGTAAAATAGGCATGAAATAACTCTTCCATGTGCTCCAATTCTACTACTAATGACAGTTTCCCGAATTGGAAATAAAAAGATTTAGCTTTTGAAATGAATGGGGATAACAAGTTTGCAGCATTTATGGAAGTTTACATTTGACAATACCTAAGATGTCCAGTAGCAGTCAAGCAACACAGTACCTGGATTCAAGGTTCCACATACTGTATAATGCATGGAGTTGCTATCATTACCATGTTATATCCGCATGAACTTAGTTTCACAAAGGCCAAACAAAAGTTGTGCTCTATGTAATAGACCCAATACCCAGTTACCCACCCACCCCCCCTCTCTCTCTCTCTCTTTATATTTTCTATGGCCAGAAAAAGATGTATGCCTACTTAGTAGTCAAGTTTTAAAAGGAAAGACAAATAACTTTAGAATGTAAAGCTTTTTGGGAGAAAGGAGGGAATGATTTTTAAAACAAGTGAAAAGAGGGTCAAAGAATTACACATAGAGGAGTGTGAATACTGCTATCTTAAACGGTTTCATCAGACATAACAAAGGGAAACAGAAGAAAGAAAATCATGAATGAATAGAATGTAAACTCTCCTAAATTAGGAGATTCATATCTGCGTGAATACGGGATGCGTTGTGCACCGGGCTGTCCTTATTATCTTATTATCATCTTCAAGTAAACCCAGTCATCATTGACAAGATTATTATAATTATACAGTAGGTTGACCCTCAAGGACATTAACAAAAGTAAGCTTCCGTAATTTCACAATGCAACAGATAGAATATTTGATCAGTAAATACAACAGAAAGAATTGCAGTATAAAAGCCAAAACCAAACAACAATTATAATTGTTGGTGCAGTAGCAAACTTACGAGAACGCTAGTTTGGTGTATAAAGGAATCTGAACTCTTACCAGCCAACTCTCACTTGCATCAAGAGCAATGCAACTGACATATGGAAACAACTCCCTCGACCTCTTATCCTTATGTGGATCAATTATTTGAATACACTTACCAGTTCTGCAATCTAAGGCAAATTCATAAATAACAGATAATAATAAAGCAGAAAAAATAGATCCAAATGAGCAAAATCATGTGTAATTTCTAAATAAGAGAGATAGCTCAAGTCAATAAAAGGCAAAATTGGCCATTCATTACACTCCCTGCTTTTTATAAAAACCGAAATGTCCCCACGGCAGGCCTTATGCTCCTCTTACTAGAAAGAATGACATACCCCATATTCGTGCTGTCCCATCCTCTGAACCAGTTATAACCTGAAAATTGCCAAGCGAGAGAAAGAGATAAGCAAAAAGAAACAAGGCAGAATTAGAATTCAGCCCAAATTCCAGGAACCATTGCTCAACTAAAAGTAAGCCACCCCTCCCACTAAGACTGAGAGAGGAAGCAAAATAAAAGTACACGTCTAAAAATATATTCTATTTCCAAAGAGAACAAAACATGAAGGTGCTGTTGCACTAAAAGAATTTTGAAATTATAAGTTTCAAGGAACAGGATTTTTTCCAGCTCATATGCCAAGTTTAGTTTTAACCTCAAAGTGAAGAGCCAGCAACATGGGTATCACACACTCCTATCCATAACAAAATCTCTTCAAATGGGAGAAATCAAATCTTGACAGAGAGGGAGGGAGAACTAGCTAGCACCATAAGCATTTGGTACATGGAGTCCATAAAATGGAATTGGGAATGACTATACAGAGAGAGAGAGAGAGAGAGAGAGAGAGAGAGAGAGAGAGAGAGAGAGTGTATGTATGGGTGAGAGAATGGGAGACAAACAGAAGCTTTACCTGATTGTGAGAATTTCGCGCAACAATGCAATGCAAGTAGTCTGAATGCCCTTTCAAAACCATCTTTATTTCATTCTTCTCCTAAGCACCATAACTTTAATCAGATTTTCATGACAGATTTAGAAGAAGCAATGAAGAGAGTCGAAGTATAAGTCGATGAAGTAAGCCAAAAGAACGGAGAGATCTTATAATATGAGCCAACCATACACCTTGAACAAATACATACCACATCCCAGCAGTATGCACAAGAATCACCAGCAGCAGCAAAAATGGATCCAGTCTACAATGGAACACAAAATATTAAATAAAAATATGTAGACAGGACAACTTTGAGGTAAGTTTTAAAAGGCTGAAT